TATATTTGCAATTCTTTTTTTTTAATTACTAATTCTGATGAAAAAGAACAATATTTTTAGGAGAGCTGTATGTTCTAATTATACAAATAACTTTAGGGGTGTAACGATACGGGTACCTCACGATACAATACGTATCGCGATACAGTGTTTCAACTTAGAATGCAATAAACAAAGTAATGATACCTGAATTAAAACAAAATATAAACAATGTTAACCTTTCAAACTTTATCAAACTACAACAATTAACACATATTGGTTCAAATTAAAATTGTAAGTTCTTTTTTAAAAAGATCAATATGTCCACATTTTCAGGTGAAAGGGCAGCACGCTGCGCAGACACTATGTCTCCTGCAGTTGAGAAGACACGTTCACTGGGTACAGAGGTACCCTGAATTGCCAGATATGATCTGGCAAGTCTGGAGAGAATAGGATAATTATCCTGATTCTCTCTCCACCATGCCAGTGGGTTGTCCTTAAGTTGGATTCCTTGTGAGGCTCTGTATTTATGGATCTCATTCTCAGTCCTGGTTCTAATTGGCTTCCCAGGTTCAACATTTACAACCATTATATCCCCAAACAGATCTTCCATGGCAGACTTCAGCTTTTTCCTTCTAGGACTAGATTCAACTGATTCATCTGAATCAGGAGAACCTGAAAAAGAATTGAAAAGCTATAAACATACATGTAAAAAATTAAAATAAACAATTAACATTTAAGCAATTTATAGGTATTTACATGTAAAGTTATAAACTTTAAATGTGTATTATTATATTAGTGTTATAGACTTACAGTGTTTTGCAGGGGTAATACTGAACTATTTTGGGTCAATGAAAAAGTTTTATTTGGTAAGGTCACTAAGATGAGTGTGCAAATGAACAATAAAATTATGACCAAATTTATTAAATTTTATTTTAACCTTTTGTATTGCTAATCCTGTCAGCTTTCATGGCATCATCTGATGTGGATGGACTCTGGTCTGGCTCCATTTTCACTCGAACCTAACAAATTAATTAGAATACAATATTAGCTCAACAAATTCTAAACACTCAGAAAATGCCAGACATGGGGTTACTGATAACCTTAATTGTGTTTTTAATAAAAGAAATATTTATTTTATATATTACTTAACTCGATATAGTATGGATAGATTAATTAGATATTGATTATTCAATAATTATGAGCAAACATTAGGTCAGATTTAAACTAAACTTCATGTGAATTTATGGTAAATAATTAAAAATACAGTGAAACTGAAATCATGAAATGACAGAAATGTATGAAATTAAGAATTTCACAATGGAATTGTAATTGTTTAAACAATTTTAAAAAGTTGCTTCTATTTATTAATCATTTAAATTCATTACCTTTTTAGTGTTTATAAAAACATTTCCTTGAAAATGATGAATTCTATATTGACAATTTGACACATACATTGTACATGTTGTATATTATTATTATATTTATAAATCAATAATTTGCAGAATAGATCTAAATGTCATTCAGGAAAAGATAGGCCAATGCATTTTTAAAATTTAAAGGCGTTAGTAAATCTGAAACATGGTCAGTCTGTCAGTACTGGTACATCTTTTAAGCTATTGAGATAGGCTATTCATGAATAAAACTGTCCATTTTCCATAAATTTTATGGATAATAATGCTGCCATAAACTAGAGTCATTAAGATGAGTAACAAAAGCATCATCATTATAACCAAAATCACAATCAGAACATCCTCCATCATTCATGAATTGGTCGAGCATTTGCTACACGTCCGCCATCTTGAATGAGTTGCAGGCTGTTTGAATCACTGCAGAGCCTGCAAAGCTTCAACTTTCTCAAATTTAGAAACGTGAAAACCACTCATAACACAAAAATGCATACACGCAGCATAATCATCAGGGTTAAAGAAGAAAAATGCGTCAATTCCACAAATACACGATTCTGTAACATCCAAATCAAAGTCGGAACAAAACTGACTGGCGAGAACGAATTCATGATTTGAGACAAAAAACAGTATCCCGCAAGGCATGTCCACAATGTTAACGCTGTCGTCGGCCATTCCTAAAACAATAAACCTACAGTGCAGTACTGATCTTCTTATTTACGACGGAGATTGTGGAAAGTTCTCACAAAGAATGGCAGCGATCACCCACACTATCATAAAGTCACCATCCGACGCTTTCTGTGTGCTAAATGCAAAATCAAAGACTGTCACATACACAAGGTAACTCACCTTTGGATGTAGCCCTCCTCCGGATCCTTAATCTGTCACATGGTCATCAAAAAACCCGATGCGCGGGGAAATATTCGAAAAACCGCCCAACGCAATAGGGGAGACAACTCCTATAGTTGTCTCAAGGACATCCTTAACACGGGCAAATTTCGTCCAGTTTTTTTATGTGACACTACCTAAGGTTAAATCTATAGGTCACATAAGAGTGATTTTTGCTCAGAAAAGTAGAATTTTTATGTGACTGTCACATAAAAATAAGTGTCACTTATCTATCTTCTGGACCCAAAATCTGTCACATTACCCTCATTTCGCGAACACGGACGGACGGACGGACGGGGTGATGCCAATATATCCCCACCTTTCAGGTGGGCATATAAAAAGGAGAAGGATAACAATACTGATACAATATGTCTCCCTTCACTTGAAGGAGAGACATAATTAGGCTGAATTCTGATAAAATCAACTTCAGACAAACAGATAGACCAAAAATAATATGATCTCTCCCCCCCTCAATCTTCAATTTTCGGGGCATAAAAACTACATTTACCTTTCCCCTCACTGTCATCACTTCTTGGGTTTCCAATAATTTCTGTTCAAATGTCGATAGTTGTCCCATTATGTCAGGGCAACTTCTTACACATCTTTTGTTGTAATCTGCCAGTCTAAATATAAAGCAATAAAAAGACATTTTTGAAAGACATATGGCTTCCAAAGCTTATCATAATTATAGCAAATGTGTATGTATTACCATTTTATTTCCTCTTGTAGATCAAAAAGGCACTGCAAACTGAAATTAGCAATACAATAGTTAAATAGAAATTTGTTTCGGTGACCAAAAACATGTCTCTCCTTTCTAGCAAGCAACTGCAGAAAAAACACTTATTTGACCTTTGACCTCAAGGTCAAATGGACCTGTTGACATTGCACTGCACTTTTCCTTCTACCTACCAAATTTGGTTCAGGTATCATTAATTGTTTAGAAGTTATGGCTCAGACAAAAAGAAGAAAAAAAAAAACATTTACATGTTTTTGACCTTTGACCTCAAGGTAAGTTTTTACAGTGATTCAGTTAGATGAGAGGTGGTGTACCTGATTGTCTGTATTTCCCCAGTTCTTCTACGGTTGTAGACAACAAGTTTTGCCTGAGTAACTTCTGCAGTTTTCCTGAAGGTGTCCGGGGTGTTTGACCTCAAATCAAGTTCCTTCAGGGAATCATTCAGGAAAATGTTTAAAGTTTTGATGTCCTTTGGTTCCGGGAGTTTTTTATCCTTTGCATAACGTCTTTGTTCCAGCAGAACCCTTGATAACTTGGTGACGCTTGTCCCCCAATAAACACACATGGCTTTTAGCAGGTCCTCTGCATCTTGACGTGAAGCTTTGTCTCCAGACTTGATAGCTAGGCCTATTTTCCCATTTATAAGTCTTTTGATGTCATATCCAAGTTTTAAGGCATTGCTTGGTTTCTCAATGTCCTCTTCATTGTCTATACTCTGACTTGCTGTCATAAGTGTTGCTTTTATTATATCATCTAAATGCATTGGTTTTAAGTAGTTCCACATTGTAGGCTCATTTAAAGGTTTGATTTTCCTCAGATGTAGTAGAAGTCTTGCAACCAAACGCATTATTTGCGATGTGTAGGACCCTCTTTTGAGGGTGTTACCAATGTTTTTTTGAATCCACTGGTTTCCTAGCTGAACAATTAATGGATCATTTCTAGCAATTGTTCCTACCTCATCCACTTTCATTGTTTCAAACACTTCTTTTGCCAAGATCTTGCTAGCGACTGTAGAGATTCTATTAGCAATGGTATCTGATCTTGTCTGGATGGCAGCCTTTTTTAGAGTGCAGTCTTCAGTATTTTTTTGATAAACACTTGTTTTGATGTTTTTGCAATAACTTTTTAGCTATCCACAGCAAACAACGAGGGCATGGTCCAAAATCATCATGTTTAAAAATCATAGTGGGTCGTCTTTCCAACAATATTTCTCCTTTACCAGCTTTCAGAGTCCTCATGTTGTATTCATGGTTGAATTTTGCTCTTAAATGCTTCAGCAGCAATTTTCTTTCTTTCTCATCTTTTTCACAAAGGATTTGTTGAATTTCTGGACAGTTCTTGTGTTTATCTTTGTGTCTTTCAATATGTTGTGAAAAATTTGAAACTTTTACATTGCACACAGCACAAAACTGGTAACTGTTGAATACTCTAGAATTTCTTTTTTTCTTTCCAGTTTTGGTAGTCTCCGACTTAGATACTTTTCTGATGAAAATCTTTGGATTTCCTGAGTCTCGTAATATATCATCTTCGTCCTCACTAGTGCTGTCATCATCCGCAATGAATTCACTTACTTCAATATCTTGTTCAATATCACTGATGCTATTTGATCCTTTTTTGTTTAGATCCGTCTCCTGATGCATGTTGCTGTTCCTCTCTGAAATTTTGTCTTTGCAAACAGATACCTTTGTATTCAGAATGGGATATTCATCACTACAGTAACCATCACTTTCATCCTGACTATCTTGTATCATCTCTAATTGATCATCATCACCTGAAGGCACATAATCTGGGTCAGAATAAGAACCTCCAAAGTCTGAATCAGATTGCTCACAGTCCATCTGCAAGTGAACATGCTCAGTAGTTTCATAACTTTCTATCTGCTTGAGAACCTGCTCAATGGTTTCATCACTGTCCATCTCTCTATGAACCTGTGCAAAGGTTTCTTCACTGTTCATATGCCTGTCAACCTGCTCAATAGTTTCTTCACTACCCATCTACCTGTGAACCTGCTCAATAGTTTCTTCACTACCCATCTGCCTGTGAACCTGCTCAGTAGTTTCATCACTTCCCATCTGCCTGTGAACCTGCTCAGTAGTTTCATCACTTCCCATCTGCCTGTGAACCTGCTCAGTAGTTTCATCACTTCCCATCTGCCTGTGAACCTGCTCAGTAGTTTCATCACTTCCCATCTGCCTGTGAACCTGCTCAGTAGTTTCATCACTTCACATCTGCCTGTTAACCTGCTCAGTAGTTTCATCACTTCCCATCTGCCTGTGAACCTGCTCAGTAGTTTCATCACTACCCATCTGCCTTCGAACCTGCTTAGTAATTTCATCACTTCCCATCTGCCTGTGAACTTGCTCAGTAGTTTCATCACTTCCCATCTGCCTGTGAACCTGCTCAGTAGTTTCATCACTTCCCATCTGCCTGTTAACCTGCTCAGTAGTTTCATCACTTCCCATCTGCCTATGAACCTGCTCAGTAGTTTCATCACTACCCATCTGCCTGTGAACCTGCTCAGTAGTTTCATCACTTCCCATCTGCCTGTGAACCTGCTCAGTAGTTTCATCACTTCCCATCTGCCTGTAATATACTATTCTATAAAGTATTAACAGTATTTACAGTAACAGATTCCATAAATCGTATCATTAAAATATGAATATTAAAATCTCATCTATGATCTTACATGGTAATTAAGTTACTCCCACTAAAAATTTGGAGTGATGAAAATTGAATAGTAAATTATAAAATCTAAATAATTTCAATTTTAAAAAGAGGCCCAATGGTCTAAGCCAATATAGACTATTGAAAGAAATAAGTGAGCTTCTACAGAAATGTATTGATTTCAGTTTTGAAAAACTAGAAAAATGAATTTGAAAATATAGAACATATTTTGGTGTTTAAATTTTGAACAATGACAATAGATCAATATTCCATGGAAGAACACCTTCGTTTCTTACCAATTAAATCATGTCATTCCTGTCACTAAGATGTTAATTTTTGTCAAGTTATTTCCTCTTCTCATAACCCATTTATTTTGCTCGAAATTAATTAACATCATAGTGTACAAAATAATTGTATCACAAAAACAAATTTCTCTTATGTAAAAATGACCTGTAGGGACATTTCTTTTTTCTCAACTTTGAAAATAAATGTTCAGAAAGTACCATAAAATTTGTCAGATAACCACTTTTTTTGTTTTCATACTGTCTTTCAATACATCCCAAGACACAATTTTAAAGTGATACATTTATGTAGAATGTCTCATGTACTTGTACAACTCCCAGCAAAGGAATGTAATTTTCTTTTCTTATATGTACATTAGGTGCTTGAATTGTAAGCTCTTTAATTCCATTTACTGGGTAAGAAGTATAATTGTTTATATTGACCAATGTTTGTGCTATACTTACTCTGCCTCATCAGATTTTATAAATATGGTGATTTCATCATGATCTGTGCATACATGTGCCACTCTCCCTGGCCACCAAACTTTAGCTGGCATGCCATCTATTTGGACTAAAACACAGGAGCCCTTGAAATATCAAAAAATATTTCTCTAAAGATGTGACTTATTATAAGTAATTCATAATCATCTTTTTAATCATGACTGGTACATCGAGCAAATTCATGGAATTTATATCCCCAGCTTTTCCCACATATTGTATACAAATATTTCTCAAAATACCAAGCAAGTCGATAACAAAAATTTGAAAGGAAGTATATTAAAGGTTAGTCAGATCAAGAAAACAAAAATTACTGCAAAGACACTTCTAAAACACTGAAAAGCATCACAAGCACTCTTAATAAATTGGAACCTGCATATAAACTATGAGGTTGTTTGGTCCAAGGAAAGTCCCAGTTACTGATGGAAACTGATTTTTAATTTATAGTAAAAATGACCTTGACCTTGGACCTCTTTGTCTGTTTATCAAGTTTAAGGTTACTCGGCCAAAGAAACTCAAGTTATTGCATTGAAAATGATTTACTACTAACAGTATCAGTGCCCTTGACCTTTAACCTTTGAAGCTGTAAACAAACCCAGGCAAGCATTCTTTATGAACAAACCTGTGTATGAAGTTAAAGGTTGATTTGTCCATGGAAACTCAAGTTATTGCACAAAAACTAATCTTCTATTTATAGTAACAGTGACCTTGACCTTTGACGCTGTAAAGCAATCCAAAGCAAGCACATTTACGAGCATTTTGCATTGATATTTCAGGTTGATCTGACTAAGGAAACTCAGGTTATCACACAGAAATGAAAAGTGACAGACAACGGACAAACCCAAATTAGTATCTCCCACTAACCTGAGAGGAATAAAAGCTTTAAAATATTACCTTTACTTTCCAATACTTTTGACTGTCTCCTGCTTAAGTTAGTTTCCCAGCACAAAAAAAGATGTGCACAAATCATCCACTTGACCAGGACCTCCCAAAACATTTTATAATATACTCACAGCCTATTTATATAATTATTTCCAAACATATGAAAAAATATGCTGTTTATAATTGACATTGTTTTTGCATCAGTACTTTTGGTATTAAAATATAATGGGTAACAAAATAATTGTTTCGTGGTTTTTAGAAACAGCAAAATCTGCATTCCTTTTCAAATGTAATTTGATAATTATATCTGCATGAACATTTACACACAATGTCACTAGTACAAAAGATAGACGTAAAAGCTAATGCAAAGATTTGAGATGCAGATGTATGATCAATGTATTATTATTGTCAATTTAAAGCACTCCTAAAGCACAGAATATTCTACTTACTTTCTCAAATCCCTCTTGATTGCACATTTGTTTGTGATGATGATCGTCATCTGTAAAATAAAAAAAAAAGATTTATGTACCCCAGGTACTTTGTTTTCCACTTCATGTCACTTTGTAATAAAGATTAATGGTTATGAGATCCCAACCCAACAAAACATTTATTAAGAACACTTGATCCAACGTTATATGCAAAGATTTTCCTATTTTTTGTGCAACAATATGCCATATCCTGTTGTGCAATGAAACATTTCACACCTGGGTCATAATAGGCTAACCAATGCTCAAACTGAAAGTATATACTTTCTCACACTCGGCTTATGCTGTAATTACTTATTTTAAACGGTAGTTAAATTTTAGCGTTTTTTGCTGATAATATATTTCACACAGTTTTTTTCAAATCAATGTTACGGCTAGCTCTAGATCTGTCAATATTAGCAATGCTACAATATATTTTTTCCTGATCCCTGTTAGGGTATGAACCTGATTAAGCTCTGTACCAATGTATCTCCTTAACTTACATTCAAACATTAATACTTATGGTTAATTACTGCCTAGTCCAGGATAGAAACAATCTATTCCAATGTCTGAACACCAGTGCAGTATTAATAAATATTGCTAATGCCACTATAACCAAAAGGAAAAGCATAAAAGCAATAATGCACTCCAACACTATTTCAGTATCAGCCATCTTGGAACAATATAACAGTCACATGACCATTCATTCTGTCCAAAATTGAGAGCTGCAATTAGTCACATGACCAAAATTGTCCAAAATTGAGAGCTGAGATTACTATTAAATCAACACAAGGGGGATTTTAGACAGGTTATGTGCATGGGAGGGTGGCCCGGGTGGCGGTCATGAGGGTGTTTCCGCGCGGCGGGCCAGCATTAACCTAGCCCTCAATTTCAAGCTGCGGAAGCGGGGCTGGGATCTGGTGGTCCGCCGGCGGCTGCTGTCTCCAGGGTTGCTGGGCGACAGCGTGCACCTGATACGACCAACACTTTCGATTAACCTTGTCCTGACTCCTCCATAGTCAAAATTCACAGGGTGGGTTATTCGGCTTGATAGGTTAGATAGGTAGGGAGGTCACCGGGTCAGGGCTGGTCTGGGTGGCCAGAGTTGATACGACCAACACTCAAGATTAGCCTTGCCTTGACTCTCCCAGGGTTCAAAATTGATGGGGTGGCTTATTCGGCCTGGTAGGTTAGTTAGGTTGGCTTCGAGTGGGGCTCTAGTCCTTGTGGCTAGAGTTGATACGACCAACACTTAGGCGGAGCACCATTCACAGCCATTTAGTTAGAATGGGGGAGGGTGTCCGAATGCCTGGTCCGGCTTAATTTAGTCATATGTTAGGTATAGGGTGGCTTCCCCAGTGATAGCTGTGGGTAGGGGGGAAAAACTCTTGGCCGCCAGAGGAGGAGCAGAATATTTTTTTCATGTTTGCTAATTTTATATATGTCATATGTTTTTTTTTTTTATTTTTGTTATATAAGTAAATACCTCTGAGAGGAAATCATGTTGCCCTTAGGGTCTATAGTGATCTAACCCCCACAGAGCGCTTAGACTATAAAAGTGTGACGTCGGCACTTAAATCCAGATTTGACCCCGAGAGGGATGTAGGTGTGTACTGGGTCCAGCTTCGGGGAAGAACTAGAAAGAAGGGGGAGTCATTGTCCGAGTTAGCTGGGTATATCCAAAGGATAGCGGCTCGAGCCTATCCAGACTCTGATCAGGAGAACTTTCGTTTCTGGTGGTAAATAACTGTATGCGCGCAACTCGAGGTCAGGTAAGCAGGGGCCCGTGGGACACACAAATTTCCCTCCCCTGGGGAAGCGTGTCAGACACATCTTTAAACATTACGGACATTAGTGACTTAATAGACCAGGATAGGATGTTGTATATAGACCAAATTAATTCGCCCTAACCTCCTGTTTCCTCTTCTCTCTTCCCTAGATTTCACCATGAACAGATTTGTTTCGGGAAAGGTTGCCCTTATTGGACACAGTTATGTCACGAGATTGGAGAACCAGGTTAGGAGGGAGTGGGAGGGGAGGTTTAGAGAAAATTTGGGGTTGCAGGGGGTGGAGGTGCGTTTCTATGGGAGGGGAGGGGGGAATATCTGGACATTGTGGAGATTGGTAGACGACATGATGGCAGAGGGGTTTAGGCCGGGGGTGGTTATATTGCAGATCGGGGGGGGGGAACGATATTAGTAACCGGGGTTTCAATTTAGAACAGTTTATGGGGTTATTTAGGGGGATTTTAGACAGGTTATGTGCATGGGAGGGTGGCCCGGGTGGCGGTCATGAGGGTGTTTCCGCGCGGCGGGCCAGCATTAACCTAGCCCTCAATTTCAAGCTGCGGAAGCGGGGCTGGGATCTGGTGGTCCGCCGGCGGCTGCTGTCTCCAGGGTTGCTGGGCGACAGCGTGCACCTGATACGACCAACACTTTCGATTAACCTTGTCCTGACTCCTCCATAGTCAAAATTCACAGGGTGGGTTATTCGGCTTGATAGGTTAGATAGGTAGGGAGGTCACCGGGTCAGGGCTGGTCTGGGTGGCCAGAGTTGATACGACCAACACTCAAGATTAGCCTTGCCTTGACTCTCCCAGGGTTCAAAATTGATGGGGTGGCTTATTCGGCCTGGTAGGTTAGTTAGGTTGGCTTCGAGTGGGGCTCTAGTCCTTGTGGCTAGAGTTGATACGACCAACACTTAGGCGGAGCACCATTCACAGCCATTTAGTTAGAATGGGGGAGGGTGTCCGAATGCCTGGTCCGGCTTAATTTAGTCATATGTTAGGTATAGGGTGGCTTCCCCAGTGATAGCTGTGGGTAGGGGGGAAAAACTCTTGGCCGCCAGAGGAGGAGCAGAATATTTTTTTCATGTTTGCTAATTTTATATATGTCATATGTTTTTTTTTTTTATTTTTGTTATATAAGTAAATACCTCTGAGAGGAAATCATGTTGCCCTTAGGGTCTATAGTGATCTAACCCCCACAGAGCGCTTAGACTATAAAAGTGTGACGTCGGCACTTAAATCCAGATTTGACCCCGAGAGGGATGTAGGTGTGTACTGGGTCCAGCTTCGGGGAAGAACTAGAAAGAAGGGGGAGTCATTGTCCGAGTTAGCTGGGTATATCCAAAGGATAGCGGCTCGAGCCTATCCAGACTCTGATCAGGAGAACTTTCGTTTCTGGTGGTAAATAACTGTATGCGCGCAACTCGAGGACAGGTAAGCAGGGGCCCGTGGGACACACAAATTTCCCTCCCCTGGGGAAGCGTGTCAGACACATCTTTAAACATTACGGACATTAGTGACTTAATAGACCAGGATAGGATGTTGTATATAGACCAAATTAATTCGCCCTAACCTCCTGTTTCCTCTTCTCTCTTCCCTAGATTTCACCATGAACAGATTTGTTTCGGGAAAGGTTGCCCTTATTGGACACAGTTATGTCACGAGATTGGAGAACCAGGTTAGGAGGGAGTGGGAGGGGAGGTTTAGAGAAAATTTGGGGTTGCAGGGGGTGGAGGTGCGTTTCTATGGGAGGGGAGGGGGGAATATCTGGACATTGTGGAGATTGGTAGACGACATGATGGCAGAGGGGTTTAGGCCGGGGGTGGTTATATTGCAGATCGGGGGGAACGATATTAGTAACCGGGGTTTCAATTTAGAACAGTTTATCGGGTTATTTAGGGGGATTTTAGACAGGATATGTGCATGG